AAAAAAAAAAAAAAAAAATCGCTTATTTGCTAGAGAGGGAGTGCAACAGGAAAAAAAAAACCCACACAACAACAAAAAACAAGCAAGAAAAAAAAAAAAGAAGCGAATCCCACGGACACGACTGACTTCACTCCAGAAAAAGGACTAGATCCCAGCTTTTTAAATCCCTTTGGAGCCTCCGAGATTTGTGCGAGCTTACAAACCGCAGCCTCTTTCTCTCGCCCGCAGGATGCGTGGGGCGGGACGCCCGGGCTCGGCCACCGGCAACTAGGAGAGGACTCGCCCGGGAAGGGGGACAGCAGCGGGACACCGGTTCGTACTTTATTTGGCCTTTGTTTTGTTGTTTTCCGTTCTTTTTTGTCGCCCTGAAAGTTCTCGGCGCCCCACAAACGATGTCTGGCCACGGGCAGGTTGACTTAAGCTTAAGTGGTAGCTGGTACTTTGGAAAGTTTTGGGGAGGGGGAGATGAGGCGAGCGCGGGGAAGAGGGGGCTGCAGGGGGAGGGAGGGGTCCTGCCTGAGCCCCCTAGTTTTGGCAGAGCCCCCTTTGGGCCCTCCCTACGGCCGGGCTCCCCCTCTCCTGCCCTGCCTTACCTTCAGGGGAGATCCCGTCACGCCCGAAGGCTCCCGTGTGGTGTCCATCGCGATGTTCGGCTCCGTTTCTATAAATATGCATGACTCGAGGGGGGGATGAGGGGGGAGGAAAAAAACCCAACCAAGCAAACAAACAAAAAAAAAAATCCACCAAACCCGCAGGTTCTTTTAGGCCTGGACGAGGAAGTCCCGGGTCCCCGCCGCCGCAGGTGGGGCCAGCCGGGTCCCGGGGCAGGCCGGCCGGCGGCTCTCCCTTCCCCGCAGCCTCCGGGGGAAGATTTTTGTTCTTCCCAGCCCCGATTTGACGGGAGGGCCCGGGAGAGGCTGCCGGCCTCAGCCCCTGCCTCCCCGCCGGGCGCGGAGCGGGGGTGGCCATCGCGGCACCCCGGCGTCGGGGGAAGGGAAGGGGAAGGGAAGGGAGCGGCGGAGGGGAAGGCAGCAGCCTCTTCAGAGCCCATTTTGTGCTGTTGGGGAGCCGTGGCAGCTTCTCGGCGGGACCGGGGATGACAGTGCATGACGGCCGGGCAGCCCATTATCCCGCTCCCATTGAGGCGCCCTTTCACTCACATGCAAACTCCTTGGCAGAGTCGTTTGTCTCCTCATTGTACTTTATTTAAGAATGCAATGGTTGTCAGGGCTCTTATTCAATTTCAAGATACTTTATTGATGAGCTTTGACTTTTAGCACTTTTCACATGTCAAGAGAAGTCAAGTGTATGCGGCTACGACTTCATTTTATGCTTTGCGCGTTCATACTCTCCACTTTCCGCCGTGCCTCTTGGAATTTCTTTTTCCTGTCCCTTCTCCTTCTTCCCTTTCTTTCCCCCAAGCCTTTTTTTTTTTCTTTTTTTTTTTTTCTCTCTCTTCTCCCTCTTTCCCCTGTGCACCCCCCTCCTCCCCTCCCCCCGTGGACCACTCGCCATAACCGATTGGGACACCCTGAGCTCGGACTGGTGCTCCCAGTGTAACCTTAAATGCATGCGCTGAGGGGTTGCTTTAGAGTTTACTGAGGTGTGTCTTAATAGTCCGGCATTCAACAAATGTACTTGTGGTGTGTGGTCAGAGCAGCAAAGTCATTTACTTACTTTCCCTCTCGAGTTTCTGGCAGCCGGTGAAG